CCAAACGCAGTTTTAATTAATTAATTTCGAAGTGCACCCATCAAAGCTTATTTTAAGATGTTTAATCAGAGCTCAATCTGGGCCCAGATAAGAAGGGTCACCCGGATGGCTTCACACTGTGGGCAGGTGGCTCACTCTTAACAGCTATCATGCAGGACCCAGTGCAGAAAGATAAACAATGTGTATATCTTAGAATCACAAAAGAGGAGATGATGCAGTCTTATTTTTTAGTTAAATAATCCAATATACATAATGATAAAAACATCTACTGTGGGGAAATGGATGAAAAATTATTCAGGGTCAGGAAAAATATATAAAATTAGATACGGTTTTGGAAAGCAACAGTCCATAAAAACCTAGTTTCTCATCCCAGCTCTGCCATTGCCTGTCTGGGCAACATGGGGCGGTTCACCATTGATGCCTGTATCCCAGTTTCCTAATCTGTAAAATGAGGACTCTACACCATTTTTTCCCAAACTTGTCTGATCCTAAGAATCACTTGGGGTCAGGGTTATAAATATAGCCTCGAGAATGAGAATCCTTGAGGAAGGGGCTTCAGGGCCTGTGTTTTAACAAACACACTGCTGTTGACACCGATGATGGGATGGTTTCAGAAACGCAGGAGTCAACTGTTTCTTTGTTGCTTACAGTAATGAAGATTCATAATTCTCTAAGACTGTGACAAAGGCTTGTGTATAAAAGGACGAGTAGATGAAACCAATGATGTATCATCACCAGTATTTGTGCTTAATCTAGATTTTCTTTTTCCGTTTACAAGTTACTTTCTTGAAGAAAATAAAGTTTAGCCTCAGTGTACATTCTGTTGTTACTGGAGGCCCTGAAATGAGGAAAACATGAAGAATGAAACTGAGTAGAATAAAGATGAAGTGGCATATGTGAAGCATGAGATTCTTCCTGTGTTTAATGTCTTCAGTTATCTGGAAGGTAGCATTTGTTCAATGAGGATGCTTCAGTTTTAGCCGATGGGGAAACTATGATTAAGCCAATATACATCTGCATTTTTCTATCTTAGTGGTAGATTAAAGTGAAGTTTTTAGTTGTTCTAAGTCAGTTTGATTCAAGAGAGGCACAAAGGGAAGAAATTAATAAAATCTATGTTGAATCCCCTCCTCTTTCCTATAAAGAAAATATGAAGATGAATTTAGGTAACTGATACCAAATTAGCAGGGGTTTTTTAAGTTGGTGAATAATTCCTTTATAGTTAATGTTTTAAGGATTAAAATATCACCTGGATATTGTGCCTGCTGTCTGGGCAGTATCGACTCCACAATAATTCTAAGCAGGCTCTAGGATATAGAGAAATTATTTCCGATATTGACACTGAAAGTCAATTAAGGAAGTTAGGTGGCTTTTAGAAAGAGAACTTTGTGAGAAATTGTTTACCAGTTTTTCCCTTAGTAAAGAAACTAAGATCATAGAAAGACAGTTTTTGATATGGAAATGGAAAATTTGCCCAAGATTTCATCTTCAATAACAAAATTAAAGCATAACCTATTTAAGGAAATGCCTTTTCTATAAATTAGAACTGTCAAATTCTCCATAGTATTAAAATTCAGGATATATACAAGAGATTTTAGTAAACAACTTGCCCTCCAAAAGACTTTGAAATTGTTAATAGATTATTTTATCTTCAAGGAAAAATGTTATTAAATTATTAAGAAAATAAATCACCCAAAATGGAAAATCTGCACAACTCCTGTTAATTAAGGCCAAGGTCATGTGAGACAGTCAGTTGCATCATCAGTGGGAGCCCTCAAACACAGACTCGATTCTGTAATGATACTAATAAAAGAGAACGATGTCCACATGTGGAAAATAAAACAAAAAAAAGTTCAAATGTGAAATAACAGGAAGTTTGAAGAAGATCCTACCTTCATGGCACCCAAAGTTTAGTGATAATAGAGACAAAGGGAAAACAGCATCTTTTGATTGCTGCTTGCATTTCATTTCCTGCCAAAAAAGAGAATGATCTTTCACTTTGAAAGTGTGGTCTAGGAATGTATGAATGAAATGATACTGAAGAAATCAAGAAAATAGTAAGAGGACCCTTATGTACCTTACACAGTTTCAAATGTCCTGGTCTATAAAAATTACATCACAATATATATATAAAGGAAGTATAAATGTTCTTATGAAACCATATTCAATGATATTTGAGAGATCTTGGAAAGAGAGTGGACACAGGGAAAAGATGGTATCAGGTGGTGGATATTGACTCTATTTTAAAAGAGAGAAAGAACTAATTTCTAGAAATCCTAGTTTAATGAATTCAACATTGATTCTGGAAAAATTATGGAATAAATTATTGAAAAGGTGGTTTGTGAATATGTAGAAAACAGCATGGTGACAAAGAGGAACCAGCCTAAATATAGTAGGAAACCATCGTATTAATCTAATGACCATTACTAGGGATATTACAAGAGGGGACAGTTACAGGAATAATACATATGCTTTGTATTTCATGATATTTAGCATAATCTGGTATATTCCTGGGGAAAGGAAACATAAGCATGGGTTTTTTTGTTAAACAGCATTCTGTAACAACGAAAAGAATATCAATCAGTGCGCCAGCCAATATGTCTTTACCAGGTGCTCTTCCAAAGTCTAATAATAGGCATAACACAACATCCCTACCCTTTAGAAATGTCCTCCAATATAGAAGGTTCTAGTGGGTTATTAATGGACACTATTTTTGAACCTGGCCTATTTAACACTGTCCACTTACTTGGATAAACACATCAGAAATGCAGATGTCATTGATTATGGAATAATACTTCATGTTTTAAATGATATAATCCACCAAGAAGGTGTCAATAAACAGATTGTGCACCACACATCAGACATTCTTTGGCGTTCTTTCCATTGAGAGATGTGATTACATTGAGAACTAGACCTAGAGATATTTCTTCTACTATTCAACACTCCCCTCCTCTTCACAGGCACCTTGAATCTGGGTAAGTTTAGTAACTGCTTCCATGAATAGAATAACGTCAGATTTGATGCTGTGCCAGTTTCCAGACACAGACTTAAGATACTGGCAGCTTTCTTTTCCTGTATGTTGGAACGCTGACTCACAGAGACAGCTGCAATGATGTGGGGAAGATCCAGCAGCCCTATGGAGAGGCCCAGGTGAAGAGGGACTGACACCTGCCAACAGCTTCTGCTGAGACCCCAGTCAACAGCCAACCCCGAATTCCAGTCATATGAGTCTATTTATCCCAGTTGACATTGCAAGAAACAGAGACAAGCCTTCACACCAGCAGAACCCTCTTCAGATTGCATATTTATGATGAAAACAAATTATTGTTATTATTTTAAGTCAATATGTGTTATGAGTTGAATTGCATCCCTCACCCAAAATCATAAGCTAAATATCTAACCCCCAGTACCTTGGAATGTGACTGTCTTTGGTGATGGGGTCTTTAAAGAGGTAATTACGTTAAAATGAAGGTCCTCTACAGTGGGCCCTAATTCAATCTGATTGATATCCTTAAAAAAAGGAGATCAGGACACACCGAGAGACACCAGAGGTATGCAGGCATACAGGGACCATCAGGTGAAGAAAGCAAGAGGGTGGCCATCTGCAAGCCCACATTATCCTGATACAAAACCAGACAAAGGCATTACAAAAAAAGACAATTACGGATTAATATTCCTGATGAAAATAGATGCAAAAATCCTCAACAAAATATTAGCAAAGTTAATTAAAAAAATAATAAGAGGATCATTCATCGTAACCAAGCGGGATTTATTCCAGAGATGCAAGGACAGTGTCAGTATCTGCAGATCAATCACTGCGATACACCACACTAATGGAAGGAAGGGTAGAAGCCATATGACCCTCTCAATAGATGCAGAGAAGCATTTGACAAAATTCAATATCCATTCATAATAAAAACTCTCAACAAAGTGAATATAGAGGGAACATACATCAACATAATAAAGGCCATATATGACAAACTCACAGCTAACTTCATACTTAATGGTGAAACGCTGAAAGCTTTTCCTCTAAGATTAGGAGCAAGACAAGCAAGTCACCTCTCACCACTTTTATTCAACATAGTTCTGGAGTAAGAAGAAAAAAAAGGCATCCAAATAGGTGAGGAAAAGTAGAATTGCTACTATTTGCAGATGACCTGATACTGTATATAGAAAACCCAAAAGACTTGACCAAAACACTACTAGAACTAATCAATGAATTCAATAAATTGCAGTGTACAAAAATCGCATACAGAAATGTGCTGTTTCTTTATTTTAATAATGAACTAACAGAAAGAGAAATTAAGAAACAATCCCATTTACAATTGCATCAAAAAGAACAAAATACCTAAGAATAAATTTAACCAAGGCGGTGGAAGACCTGTAGTCTGGAAACTATAAGACATTGACGGGAAAAAAAAAAATTGAAGACAACACAAAAAAATGAAAAGATATAACATGTTCGTGGATTGGAAGAATTAATACTATTAAAATATTCATAACTATCCAAAGTAATATCTTTACATGGTGACAGATGGTAACTCTATTTACCATGGTGAGCATTTCATAATATTTAATTTATCAAATCACTATCTTGTACACCTGACACTAACATAATATTTTATGTCAACTATAATTCTATAAAAGAAAATCTGAAAAAGAAAAAGAAAAAACTTGGAAGATAGTAGATGATGGCAAGGAGGAGTGAGGTTGGTAAAGGCAGATAGTATAACTTCTAAGGAAAAAATGTCATGAGAAGTAAAGATTTCAAACCAGCAGTGGAGAGTAAGGTCACTGTTCCTGTGTCCCCACACACCCTCATTAATGTTGATAGAAGAAGCATGTATTTAAGTGACTTCTACTTGACACGGTTGCAAGAGATGCCACATCTTCACAAAGTGCAGGTCTCAGCCAACAGAGGGTACAGGAGGAACATTCTGCAAGAGGGTGTGTTGGTGCAGCAGAGTGAGATCCAGAAGGCAAAGTGGGAGAATCTGGCAAAAAGAGGGATAGTAGGGATTAGTGGATCCGGACTGTCAAGGAACAAGGCTGGAGAGACAGAAGGGTTCAGAAATAATGAGTGATCAGTGGACCTCACACTCTCGTGCTGATTAAGCTCAATAGATAAGGTTGTCCTTGCAGGTTTAGTTCTTGTTAGAATTATTGGTAGCGTGGGAACTCAGTGTAAGAAAAAAAATTGGTCACAATGAGAAAAGAATAAGGATGTAAAGGACTGACTGACAGCAAGGAAGGAAAACTATAAAGCAAAGGTGGTAAAACTACAGAGGTTTTAAAAATCATGACAGAGCAGAGGTTACCGCGGACTAATTGGGATTCTTCCTAGTCTAGGGTTTTGTTGCCTTTTTCTCTCATTGCTTCTATTTTCTACGAGATGCTTCCTTTTATTTAGAAGACATCGGAAGAACCTTAAAAAGTATTTAGTCAGGCCCTTCCTGCAAGGAGGCTGAAATCTGGACAGTCTACAGCTGTTTGTCCATGTCAGGTATATAATTAGTGTCAAGTTCAGGGGTAAAAATGAAGAATCTTGATTTCTAGTTCATTTGAAATTCTAGAAATTAAAGATAATGGCTAAATATACTAACTTTATAGGCTCTTTGGACTAAAAATAACGCTGGCTATGCCTGGAATGGGGCAAGTTTAGACTAACCCAGGAGAACCATCGTATCACATATCCCTGTCCTCTGCTCTATCCCTTTACTTTTTACTACTTTTTCCATGTACTTTCTATTCAGGATGTCCAAGTAAAAAATAGTCAAATTGTTTTTTGACAGAGATCCAAGAAAATCAACTGAGTTCCCCAGAGACTTCATTATTTAATAATAATAGGGAGGAAGAAAGAGAGGAGGAGGAGAATGAAGAGAAAGGGGAGGAGGCAGAAGAGCAGAGGGAGGAAAGGGAGAAAAAGAAATTATTTCAATTCACTGTAAATATGCTAATTTTAAACATAAGGTATGTACTCATAACAATTTAATCACGTGATATTTTGACCATTTTATTAACAGAACATATTAAAACATCAGTTGATTATAGCAAATAATAGGCTAGTTCAGGTTCTTATTGAAGTTATTAATTTCCTTTAATTGTGGAATTAGTGGTTTCCAAAGCCTTTTTGCGTGTGTATATTGGAGACATTAAATATTGAAAAATTAGAGCATATTGAAGAAGGAAGAATCTACAAATTTATTTGTGCTTCTTAAAGCCTTACTGTAGGAAAATTATAAAGTTTAGAATGTGGTAACAGAGTAATACTAAAAATACTATGAGAGAAAGGGTGACGGGAGATAAAACACTTTCTAAAACTGAGTGAACATATTCTAATGATTTGTCTGAGAATTATGCAGGTGATAGGTGAATTTTATACAACGATTTTGAAGGATGGGGTCATTTTCAAATGTAGAAGGACTAAACTTAGCAAGAAAAAAAGGCAACCTAACAGAGATAAATTACACTTAGAAACCTCATTTCTCTAAAGTAATCTTAATAAAAATGTATACATAATAGGAGAGAGATTTGAAAGACTTTCACTTCACATACTACGGGGCCAGTTGAAAATACAAGTCTGTATTTGATGTGTTAACACTCAATAGTCCTTTCAAAAGTTGGCAAGGAACATGGATGAAAATTAGCTTATACAATTAATTGGGCAATGCTGGCATGAGAATACTTCATTTTATTAAGAGAAATATTAAGCAACATAGTGAAACCGTCCTCCCAAACACATGTAGCAATTTAAATATATGTATATGTACTTTTATTTATATATATAGGTGTAGGTATCATATATATAATGTGTGTATATGTAAAATAAGTGTGTGTGTATATATATATATATATATATGCATTTGTATACATACATAGACATACACACAGACTTGCGAAAGAGGCCAATGAAAGCTGATCATTGTCATTTGAAATGGTGATTTTACAGTGTATTAAAACATGAAGACAGACCGATCTCAATAGGGAGGAGAGGACACAGATTGCCTGCAGGGTGTAACTGCTGCTCTTTCTGTTGGTGGGTCAATGTGCCAGCAGTGCTTTCATGCGAATCACGGTGCAGACATGAATCGCTGTGGTTCTTCCTTCCTTGGCCTTTGGATTGTGCTGTAGTCAGGGTCCACAGACCAGATTCTCCATATATAGTTCTTCTTGTGGTTCTTGATTATGACCCCCTGAGGAAGTCAGACGAGCCTGGGGTTACTGGAGATGGTGTCTTGCTTGGCATATTTATCATCCACAATCACCTTCTATAAATATACCCCAGCAGGATCATCTTCAGGCCAGGTCAGTAGCCTGCAATTTATGAAGGTTATGGGAAACAGTGTGAAGGGTGAAGTGCTTTATTAAAGGTGGCTTTCTCCCTGACCCAGCCCTGCATTCTATCTGAATATAAATGACCCTGGAGTGAGTGTGCCTTTCAATTTAGGATTAAGCCTTCTTAAATTGTTCCTTTTGGCTGTTTTTCTTAGGGTCACTGTGTCATGACGAGTTTCTAAGACACGTCAAAAATCACAGTGGTCAAAGATAATGTGAGAAACCAGTTGATGCAAAATAGAAGCATATCTAAACCTCACATTGTTTCCTCTCCTTTTTATGTACTGATTATTCAAAAACATTCTCATTTTCCCCATTAAAAAACGTCACTAATCTCTATTTTTCCTATGACAAAATAACAGGACCATAATATCTTACAAGCATCATAATTACAATCTCCAAGGAAGATGAAATAAATTAAATGTGTTTGTTGAATGTTGTTTATTTTTAAAAGAAAATGCGTTTGCTTAAGATACAGTTATTTCGGATTATGCCCTGGACACGAACCTTTTTTTCCTTTCACATCACTTATGCGAATATAAAATATTGTAATGACCAAAATGACACAAAACTAAAATGCCACCCAAGCTGCTCTCAGGCAGTGGATTTTCCTGGAACAGGGTGAGAACCCGCTGGATGGGGAATGATTAACTCTTTTCCCTACGGGTGTTATTCTGAACGCTTGTCCTAGAAGAGAAAGCTTTGAAGAGGGTCATCCTATTAATATTTAAATAATTAAAAAGTAAAGGAGCAATTTTAATATTTCAAACAACTCCGGTGAATAAAAGATCATCAGCACCTTCCTGTTTTCACGATGATCCTCTTTTCAAATGAGGTTCTTGGCTATGCAATTGCCCTGCGGGTGGGGACGGGGGGAGGAACGACAAAAGGAAGAAAAAACGTAGGGAGACGAGGAGAGAAAACGATGAAAAATTGTTTTATTCAACTTGACCTACCGTTCAAGCAACTCACCCTTAGGAAGAGTCCGACACTTTATATGAATCACCTATTTCGGTCTCCTCCCACCACATCATCGCAATATTTTACACCTGTTTTGCAAACCTCCAACTGCGTTTACAAGTAGGGACATAGTCAGTAGGCGAATGACCTTTCGCAGCATGTGTCTGAAACTAGTTCATCAAATACTTGTCAGCCAACTGTCCAGGGGGCAAAAAAAGAAAAAAAATAAGACGGGGAGTGGGTGAAAATTTATCCTTTTTGCTGCTTAATCAAGAATCTAATAGCTTCTCCTCCCCTTTTCTCTAGTGTCTTCCCACCCGCGTCCCAAACCTGTTCTGTTACTAGGGAAACTTGGGGGGCAAAATCAGCTACAATAAGAAAACAAAAGTTTAGATCCGTGATCCCCATTGCCATGCACCGAGCACCGCGAGATGCCAACCTCGGTCGCCGCACCGCGGTCCTGACAAAGCCTGTATCTGGCCGGAACAAATAAGATGTTAATTGCAGCCTCCCGGAGAAAAACTAGTATTGCTGCCAAGTCGGAGACACGCAGCAGCTCGGGGATGAGAGGTGCCCCTCCGCGGGGGACCGGGTCCACTCGTCGGAATCCCGGGGCTGAAATGACAGCTCTTCGGCTGCGACAGTCCGCGCTGAAAGAGAAACACGATCAAGTGCGGTGTCTGGTCCCCAGCCCCCCAAGCGCCTTCCCGCCCGCACGCCCCCAGCCTCGCGTCCCAGTGCGCCGCTCTTACCGTCGGTCGGGAGACGGAGGGCGCGCACACCTCCCGCCGCAGGGAGGGCCGCTCTCGGGACGCGCGGGCGCACCGCGGCCCTGCGCAGCCCTCCCCCCCTCCCGCCGGGCTCCGGCTCTCGGGCCGCCGCTCCCGGAGGCTCGGCTCCCGCCCGCGCGCGCAGCGGGCGCAACTCCGCGGCGGCCGCGCGGCGCGCGTCGAGTCTACGCCAGCCGCGCGGAGCCCCGTTCCGGGGCGCGCGCCGCGAGCACGCGGGAGGCCGGCGCGCGGCCACGCCCCCTCCCTCCCGCGCGCCCCGGGGAGTGCGAGTCCCTGCCGCCCGCGCGCCGCCTTCGCGGGCGCCCCTTCACTCCCTCGCGCGCGCCCCCTGCCTCACGCGCGCCCCCACCGTCACGCGACCCCCTTCACGCGCGCCTTCCCGTCCCCTCCCTCGCGCGCGCCCCTGCCTCACGCGCGCGCCCTCCCGTCCCGCACGCGCGCCGCGGGCAGAGCGAGCCCCGCGCGCCGGCGCGCCCCGAGACAGAGCCGGAGTCCCCCGCCGCCCGCCGCGCCGCCTCCTCGCCGGCACTCAGCGTCCCGACGCCGCCCGCGCAGGGCGCCCCTCTCCCGGCGGCGGGCGGCCCGCGGCACCTGCGCGGAGCGGCGGAGGGAGCGAGCGCGCCGGGGAAGGCGCAGGGGCCCCAGCTGCGCGGCCCGACCGCGGGCGCTCGCGCGACAAGCCCGCCTCCCGGCCAGCCGCCTGGGCCGCCGCCGCCGCCGCTCGCTTCCCGTCCCCGCGCTCCCTTCGCCTCTGGGCTGGTCGGCTCGTCGCGGGTGGATTTGGCGGAACGGACCCTCGCTCTTCAGCCGCTCGCATATTTTTGTTCCTTCGGAGTCTCTCCTCGGGGGGCTCCCCCGCCGCGTTGGAGGTCCGGTTCAGCTGGATACGGCGTCAGGCTCCGGGGTCCTGGGGGCTTCTTTTCCCCCCGGCCCTCCCCTCTTTGATTCTCCCCCCCCCACCATCCTTTGCTTCTCTTACGTATGCGTTGAAAAAAAAATAAATCCTGATTTCTGAAGCCGAGCCGGGGAAAATGGGCAACGGTGCCTGGGACCGAAGGGGCGTCTCTCCGTCGCTGTTGCCGGGACGCGTCCCCGCGCTGGTGTCTTAGAGCAAGAGCGTCCCTGGGCTTTCTGGAGTGGAAGGTAAGCAAGGGGGTCCCGGGGTCGCCTTCCCTCTGCCGGGGGCCGCCGGAGGCTGGGGTTTCGCGGCGGGAGGACGCGGGGAAGCAAGGCTGTTGCTGGCAGCTGGAGGGGCTGCACGCACACCCGACTGTCTGCACTGACTTAAACGCCGCCGTTGAAAAGTTAGACAAGTCTGGTTTTCATGAGATGCGCTGGCTCGGAAGAAACAGGCAGGGGCACCTAGATCTGCCGGTTGTGTGTGATTGGGGTAATTTTATGGGGGGAAATTTCGGGCTAAAAGGAAGTTAAGATAACGGGAGGCAACGGGTCTAATAAGGGGGAAAAATTCAGTGGAGTGATGGCGCCGTCTATGTTCGACTAAAGTGTCACCCAGAAAATCAGTTTTGAGGATGGCAAAACTAAACGCCGGTTTGCTTCTTAGCGGGAGAGAAATAAATAAATATATCAATACAACATCCTTGAGCCCTCGGTGGCCAGCCCTTAGACACCCCCACGCCATCCTTTCTCTCTTCGGGAGTGAAAACACAATTGTTGGAACTGGCCCTGCAGTCGGGGACGGCGGGGGAGGGGGCAGAGTTGAATGATTCATTTTTGATTATTTAGAATAAAGCCAGACTTCCTACACCGAGGTTTAATCATGAAAATAAAGAGCATTATACTGCGGGGGCTCTCTTGAGCGAGCTTGACAGTGAAATCAGCTATTTCCTCACTCTTTCTAATCCTTGATGAGCACAGCAATGCAGACATGCACTGTCAAATAAAAGGAAGCCAAAGTGCCGGATTTCATTAGGGAAAGAAAGACGACCTCTTTTTCAGTTACCCATTATAAAATGAAGCCCCCTTTCACGGATGGAATTCCTAATTTAGACTCTTATTGTCACATTGGCTCCCAACGCCTACACTCTATCCTGGCGACCACTGCGCAGACCTGCATTGCCTGCAAAGTGCTACAGCAAAAAAAAAAAGGGAAATTATTTCCAGAATTTCCTACAACTTTCCTTATTTTTTTAACCTCTAAATGCTCATTGGCTTTAATTTCTCAAGAAGAACATGCAGTCTGCATTGAGCTGCCTACTTGAAACAGCGAACACTGTTTTTGATAGTCCCAGCAGTTCTGATGTTATTTTAAACCGCTGCTATGGAGAGAGATTTAGAGTTGGGGCTGATTTTGCCTATATCGAGACATAGAATTTGAATTATGATCTGGAAAAATGCAGATCTATCTTCAGGGACTTCAGTCACTTGATTTTGTGTGCATGTGTTGGTGTGTGGTTATGCAATGGGAAGGAGGGTTTTGTCCTTTGGTTCAGAGAGGACCCAGGCAAAGACATGAAAACTCTTAACTATCTATATGTCTGTATGTCTGTCTCTGTTTACAGAACAGTGGAAGAGACTGCAGCCTAAAGACTTTTAAAATTAACTTGGCATCACTTTTCTCAGCTCAAAGGCTAAACAAAAAAGCAGTGTCATTTATTCTAAGAAATAACTTCTTAAAGGTTAACGCTGAAAAAAATTCAAGTTATTTTTGGATAACAACTTACAGAGGTAAATATAACCAAGGATTACTTTATTATGCAAGACCAGATTAAAAAATAATAATAATAAAAGAAAAGAAGAGGAGCTTTGGAGCTGTTGGTAGGAAACAGAGCAATTAAATCATTGAAATCTGCTAGGAAAGAATATGGTAATGTCTTTTATCTACCATGTGTAAATCTTAAATTACAATAGATAACTCTAGGTAAAATAGCCTGAATTAAAAAGAAAAAAAAATGCTTAAAAGACTGAAGCCAGCTCAGTTCCTGGGGTTCTGGGATTTTTCACTGACATCGCCTATGGAGACCGATACTAATACAGTGATCCACTTAATGTACCCCAAGGGGGCATGTCACATTGAAATGACTGCCTTAAATCCTGGTTCTCAGTGGTGATGTCGAACAACAAGTCTTCCCTATGTATCTCCCCATCTGTGCCCCCTTTCTCAGATGAAGGTTTTAAAATGCTATTAATCCACACGAATGCCGGTGTTTCTGCCCAGGAATTCCCCATCAGTTCACATGGTGGCCCCTGCAAAGACAAGTAGGGGCATTTGGGAAATGATGTTCATCTGCAACAAATTATCGTTTGTGCTTTTAAAATTGTGGATATCATTTATCGTAATTACTTTTCACATTTAAGAGAAAAGAAATAATGTGATGACAGCTGTTGCCAGATTATCAGATTAAATTCTGTGGATTGATGTTTACTGCAGGCAGAGGATTGAGATAGAAAAGATTGTATAGCCTGTTTAAAAAATATTTCAAGCATTAGCATTTAGGCTACGACTTTAAAAAAATACATTTTTATTTATTCTTTTAATTGAATCGTAACGCACTTGGAGGAAATCCTGGTAGATAAATTAGAACATTCCTATTAATAATCTATTAAATATTATTTTTAAATTGAATGTAGAGAATTTGGCCTTTGTGAGTGACCACGTGAGGGCGCTGTTCTCACAGCAACATAATTTCCCAGCGTTATAAAATAAAAATTACCTGCCCTTCTTTCAAAAAGGGTTTTTTTTACTGAAATCTTGAAAACAGCTGGCTGTAATATTGGAAGGAGTTTCTTTTTTCAATGCGCATAGACTCCTACTTGGATTTTACTTTCATTGCCATTTTTACAGGCCAAATGACATAGGATGAAGGCTGTTCGTAACCTGCTGATTTATATATTTTCCACCTATCTCCTGGTTATGTTTGGATTTAATGCTGCCCAAGACTTCTGGTGTTCAACTCTGGTGAAGGGAGTCATTTATGGATCGTATTCTGTAAGTGAAATGTTTCCTAAAAACTTTACAAACTGCACTTGGACGCTGGAAAATCCAGATCCAACCAAATATAGCATTTACCTGAAATTTTCCAAAAAGGACCTTAGCTGCTCTAACTTTTCCCTCCTGGCTTACCAGTTTGATCACTTTTCCCATGAAAAAATAAAGGATCTTTTAAGAAAGAATCATTCTATAATGCAACTCTGCAATTCCAAGAATGCTTTCGTTTTTCTACAGTATGATAAAAATTTTATTCAAATACGTCGGGTATTTCCAACCGATTTCCCAGGATTACAGAAAAAAGGAGAAGAAGATCAGAAATCTTTTTTTGAGTTTTTGGTATTGAACAAGGTGAGCCCAAGCCAGTTCGGTTGCCATGTATTATGCACTTGGTTGGAGAGCTGCTTGAAATCAGAAAATGGGAGAACAGAATCATGCGGGATCATGTACACGAAATGCACCTGCCCTCAGCATTTGGGAGAGTGGGGTATCGACGACCAGTCGCTGGTTTGGTTAAATAATGTGGTGTTACCCCTGAATGAGCAGACTGAGGGCTGCCTGACCCAGGAGCTGCAAACCACCCAGGTCTGCAATCTTACCCGGGAGGCCAAGCGACCACCCAAAGAAGGTAAGTGCCCAGCAGAGAGGGAGAGATGGAGGGTGGGGGAGGGGGAGGGGAGAGGGGGCCCCCGGGGCACGGAGTTAAACACGCTTCCACCTGCAAGGCTAAGCGGTGCTCCTTTAACTCGAGCGTCTTTGATTCATTTGATTTGTCATCTTCACGGATAAAGGTCTCAAGCTAGATTTAGGATTCAAGATTTCAGAGATGGGGTGGGGAGAATGGGCTGGTTTTCAATGACATGCCCTGCGTGTGCAGGGAGAACGTTCGGGAGAAAAGAGATGCAAAAACGTGGAGCCAGTTTGTGCTGGAGGTTGGTGAGGAGCGAGGGGAAGGGGGGGGGCATTATTCGGTAGTCCCTGGGGAGACACACACGCGCGCGCACACACACGCACACGCACACGCACACGCACACACACTCACATACACGCACGCACGCCCCCTGTGAAATGGATTGTGGACTCGCCCCTTATGGACTTGCCCCTTATGCTCCAGCCCTGTAAAAAGTCCCCTTCAGTTTCTCACCCGTTCCTTCCCCTCCCCCGCCCCCCGCCTCA